TGCTTTTGAGTTGCAGTGTTGGAGAAGAATGCTAAGAATACCATGGTCTCCTAAAAAGACTAACAAATCTGTTCTGGACAAAGTGCAGCCAGAATGCTCCTTGGAAGCGAGAATGGCCAGATTTTGCCTCACCTACTTTGGTCATGTTGTCAGAAGGAATCATTCCTTGGAGAAGGATGTCATACTTGGTAAAGTGGAGGGTCAACAAAAAAGGAGAAGGCCCTCAACGAGATGGATAGACACAGTGGCTTCAACAATGGGCTCAGGTATAGCAAGGATTATGAGGCTGGCACAGACCAGGCAGTGTTTCATTCTGCTGTGCATAGGGTCACTATGAGTCGATGACTTGATGGCATCTAACAACAAGAACAACAACAACAACATTCCTTTCTCATGTATATTTTTTTCCCACCAAAATGCGTCATACTACACATGGTATTTGGCAACCTGTTTGTTTTTTAATTTGACAGTCTGTCTGGAAAGTTATTCCATGTCAGACCATTGACCTCATTTTAATGACTATGTAGTGTGTTCCATTGTATATTTTATTTATCACTTATTCAAACATTTCTCTACTGTTGGACATTCAGGTTCTTGCCAAATCTTTTTGCCACCTCATCAATCATTGCAGTAAATGCCCTTGTATATAAGTCTTTACATATTGGTGCTTGTATTTCTATAGAATTGATTTCCAAAAGTGGGATGGATGGATAATAGGCTATATATGTTTTAAGTGTTATTCAGTATTGCTAAAGCTCTGATGGCACAGTGCCTAAGGCATTTGACTGCTAACCAGAAGGTTAGTGGTTTAAACTCACTAGCTGCTCTGCAGAAAGAAGATGGGGCAATCTACTTCTATAAAGATTTACTGCTTTGGAAACCCAGTCCCCACTGCTATGAGTTGGAATCAACTCAATGGGAGTGAGTTGTTTTTTTTTTTTTTAAAGTATGTGGAAGAAATACACAGAGTAGCTGTACCAAAAAGAATTGGTTGGTGTTCAGCCATTTCAGGAGATAGCATATGATCAAGAACTGATGGCACTGAAGGCATTAGTCCAAGTTGTATTGAAGGCACTGGCAAAAACGAAGGTTTCAGAAATTGAATACCAAACGAGATGTTTTAACAGATAGATGCAGTGCTGGAAGCTCTCACAAATTTATGCCAAGACATTTGGAAAACAACTACCAGGCCAATAGACTGGAAGAGATCTATATTTGTGCCCATTCTGAAGAAAGGTGATTCACAGAATGCAGAAATGATCAAACAATACCATACCAATACCCAATTTTACCAAGTAAAATTTTGTTGAAGATAATTCAAAAATGGTTGCAGCAGTACATCAACAGGAAACTGCCATAAATTCAAGCCAGATTCAGAAGAGGACATGGAATGAGGGATATCATTGCTGATGTCATGTGGATCTTGGCTGAAAGCAGAGAATACCAGAGAGATGTTTGCCTGTGTTTTATTGGCAATGCAAAGACATTCAATTCTGTGCATCTTAACAAATTATAAATAACATTGTGAAGAATGGGAATTCCAGAATACTTCATTGTGTGCATGTGGAACCTGTACATACACCAAGAGGCAGTCATTCAAATAACAAGAGGATACTGCATGGTTTAAAATCAGGAAAGGTGTGTGACAAGGTTGTATCCTTTCACCAAACTTATTCGATCTGTATGCTGAGCAAATAATCCAAGAACCTGGACTGTGTGAAGAATGCAGTATCAAGATTGGAAGAAGACTCATTAACAATCTGCAGTATGCAGATGACACAACTTTATTTGCTGAAAGAGAAGAGGAGTTGAAGTATTTACTGATAAAGATCAAAGAGTATAACTTTCAGTGTGGACTATATTTCAGCATAAAGAAAACAAAAATCCTCACAACTGGATCAATAAGCAACATCATGATAACTGAAGTTGTCAAGATTTAATTTTACATAGATCCATGATCAACACCCATACAAGCAGCAGTCAGGAAATTAAATGACATATTGCATTGGGCACATCTGCTGCAAAAGGCCTCTTTGAAGTGTTGAAAAATAAAGATATCACTTGGAGGAGAAAGTGTGCCTGACCAAAGCCATGGTATTTTTAGTCACTTCATATGCATGCGAAAGTTGGACAGTGAATAAGGAAGACCAAAGAAGAATTGATGCCTTGGAATTATGGTGTTGGTGAAGAATTTTGAATATACTGTCAACTCCCAGAAAAATTAACAAACCTGTCTTGGAAGAAGTAGAGCTAGACTGCTCCTTAGAAATGAGGACAGGGAGACTTTGTCTCACATACTTTGGATATATTTTCAGGAGGGACCAATCCCTGGAAAAGAACATCATCCTTGGTAAAGTAGAAGGTTAGGGGAAAAAGAGGAAGACCCTCAATGAGATGGATGGAAACAGTGGCTGCAACAATGGGCTCAAGCATGATAATTGTGAGGGTGGTGCAGGGCTAGACAGTGTTTCATTCTGTTGTTCACAAGGTCACTGTGAATCGGAACCAACTCAGTGGCACCTAACACAACAATAACATGTTCTCAAAGAGAAATTGGTGGTTCAATGATAGAATTTTTCACCTTCCACGCAGGAGACTGCATGGATTACACCTCAATATAAAGAAAACAAAAATCCTCACAACTGGACCAATAAGCAGCATCATGATAAATGGAGAAAAGGTTGAAGATGTCAACTTCATATTACTTGGCTCTACAATCAACACCAATGGAAGCAGCAGTCAAGGCATCAGAAGACGTATTGCATTGGGCAAATCTGCTGCAAAAGACCTCTTTCAAGTGCTGAAGAGCAAAAATGTCTCCCTGAAGACTATGGTCCATCTAACCCAAGCCATGTTATTTTCAATCACCTCATATGCATGTGAGGGCTAGACAATGAATAAGGAAGACCGAAGAACAGTTGATGCTTTTGAGTTATGTTGGCAAAGAATACTGAAAGTACCATGGACTGCTAAAAGAACTAATGAATCTGTCCTGGAAGAAGTGCAGCCAGAATGCTCCTTTGGAAGCGAGAATGGCCAGACTTCATCTCACCTACTTTGGTCATGTTGTCAGAAAGGACCATTCCACAGAGAAGGATATCATGCTTGGTAAAGTGAAGGGTCAATGAAAAAGGGGAAGGCCCTCAACAAGATGAATTGACACAGTGGCTATAATGATGGGGCTCAGGTATGGCAGGGATTGTGAGGCTGGCACAGGACCGGACAGTATTTCATTGTTACACATAAGGTTGCTATGGGTCGGAGCCAACCTGACGGCACCTAACAACAACAATGACATGCAGGAGGCTGAGGCTTGATTCCTGGACAGTGCACTCCATGCACAGCCACTTCCTGCCTGTCAGTGGAGACTCTTATACCTCTATGATGCTGCAGGTTTGAGTGCAGCTCCAAATTAAGACAGAGTAGGCAGAAAGTCTTGGTGATCTACTTCCAGAATCAGCCAGTGAAAACCCTATGGAGCACAACAATATGATTCACAATCACTCATGGGGATGCACAGGACTGAGCAGCACCGTGTACTGTTGTGCACAGGGTTGCCATGAGTCAGAGACGGACTCAACAGCAGCTAGCGTCAACAACATGTTCTCAAACATTGTCCATATACAGCCTCCCACCAGCAACATAAGAAACATGAGCATTTCTTCACATTCTCAACAGCCCTGGATGTTACTACTCATTAAAAATTAAATTGCGAATCTTAGTACAGACAACAAAGATGAACCCTTTTGCACATACAGTACTGCATTGTGAGTGAAGGCAAACATGGGTATATGGGTGGATAGATGGGAGCACAGGCTGAACTATTAGGTATATCTATGAAATGGGGAGTGTATCCAAGAACATGTATAGGGTTGGCAGACAATGGTCCTATAAGTTTATGTGAATGATCAGAATTCCCAGGTGTATAGTAGAGCAGACAAGGGGCAAGGGTGTGGTCACTGTTTGGTCACAGCCAGCTACCCAGAGGGACTGAGTAGTTGAACCTGCAGGCTTAGGACCAGAGTTGCAGGGGACATCAAGCTCAATTGGCATAACATACTATACAAAACATTGTTCCACC